CGCCTGAAGGCAGGACGAGAAGCAATGGGTGGAAACTGATCAAGGAGAGAAGCAACCTAGAACTAAGGAGAAACTTCCTGACAGTTAGAACAATTAACCAGTGGAACAACCTGCCTCCAGAAGCGGTGAATGCTCCAACACTGGAAGTTTTTAAGAAGAGACTGGACAGCCATTTGTCTGAAATGGTATAGGGTTTCCTCCCTGAGCAGGGGGTTGGACTAGATGACCTCCAAGGTCCCTTCCAACTTTTTTATTATTATTATTATTATTATTATTATTATTATTATTATTATTATTATTAATACTTGAGAGTGGCAGGTATTGCAGCTAGTCCTCACTTGATGACAGGTCATTTAGCAACCATTTGAAGTTGTGATGGACCCCTCAAAATGTATTTATGATCTAGTTCCAGAGTTCTGACAGCCTCACACTCCCTGCTTGGCATTTTCTTCTGCTTTTTTGGCACTTGTTTCCAGCAAAAAAAAAAAATGTCCATTGGGTAAAATGAATTTGTTTAACAATTGCTGCAAAAATGGTGGTAAAAATCAAGGTGTGGTGATACGGTGACCCATTTAATGACTGTCTTGATATACAAGCATAATTCTGGGCTCAAGTACAGTTGTAAGTTGTATGCAGAGACAAAAAAAATGTCTTATATACTGAAAAAAACATGCTGCAGTATATATCTTTATGGTTGACAATACAGGCTTTTCAAATGAGATGGGATGCACAGATTTTAATCTCATGACTTTCTGTCATCATCTGTGCAAAATAACATTAAAAAAGCTTTGGTATTGTAGAGTCGAGGTCAAGGAGTTTAGCTCTGAACTAGCAAAAGAAAACCACATGTTAATTCCTTCATACATAAAGGTGAACCCCTAATTTTCTGGTTCAATTGTAATACATGCAATGTGTGTCAACTTGGAACGACCATTAAGAGTAGTGAATTCCCATAGTTCTTTTCAAATCGCATCAAGAAAGAGACGCTCAAGTGTAAACAAATAAAAATATCCTCTAGAGTAATTTTTACAGTTGAGAGGGGAAACCTATATTAGTTCCAGGGTAGAACATTTTCACATAATCACTCACCTATTTGATTTAGGTATTGTGATCTGATTAGGTGGAGGGTGATGGGGTTTCTACTCCAAATTCTTGTACCTATGTCAGTTGACAGTATTTTACAATAATCCAGTGGGTGGGAATGATTTAGTGCCAGGCACAATTGGAAGCATCTGATCTCTTTGGAGAGCAGATAGGAGTATCTGCTTTTATCTCTTTCTTTGCAGCAGACTGACAAATTATTTCTGTGTT